AGAAATCTTCATAGAAGTGTTTTCACATTATAGAACATTTAAAAACGCGTACGCTGGTTGATGTTTTGTTGATTACTTACACACTAGAGTCATCTGAGAAGAGAGACTCTCAATTTGAAAACATCTCCACCATATTGGCCTGGGAGGTATTTTCTTGATTAATGGTGGATGTGAGAGGTCCCAGCTGACCATGGCCACTGACAGAATTGGGCTGGTGGTTCCAATAGTAAAAGAAAAATGAAGCAAGCAACTGGGACCAAGCACCAGTAAGCAGTGTTCCTTCCTCCATGGCTTCTGTCTCCAGATTCCTGCCCTGCTTCAGGTCCTGATCTGACTTCCTCAGCAGTGGACTGTAACTTGGACGTATAAGGTGCTTGTTGCCATGGTGTTTCATCACAGCAGTAGAAACCCTAAGACACCACCTAAACAGCAATCAATAGTAAATGTTTCTATTGTGTTCTAATCATAGAGTACTGTAAAAAGGAATCCACACAGATGCAACAACACATCTAACTCTAAACAGAGCTGGCTAAGTGAAATAATGTAGGTGCAGAACACCATCAATTATGCTGGAAACATAGCTCAGTGACAGCGGGCTTGCCTGCCATTGACAGTCCCTGCGAGTGAGCCCAGGACCACATGTTCACAATCAAGCAATACCCTGTCAGCTGGCTTTGGAACTCAGCTCTGTGGTAGAGCACTTGCCTAGCAAGCCCAAGGCTATGTGTTTACTCCCTAACATCAAAAAGAAAAAAGAAGAAAAAGAAAACGAAAAAAGAAAAGAAAAGAAAGAAATGAAAGAAAGGGGGAAGTAAAAAAAATGAAAGAGAAATGAGGTGGAGGCATTTATTGTATAAATCTAAGAATGTAGCAAAATAGATAGCAATTTTTACAGACTGACATGAGGGCATAGCTACATAGCAGTAAAGAAACAAAAAGAATTCTGGAAATAATACAAATGTTCTGAATCTTATGAGTGATGATTAGGAGAAGGTAAATGTCTGCCAAATTAAAGAACATGGAAGACCTAAAAATAAAGAATTCTGGAAATAATACAAATGTTCTGAATCTTACGAGTGATGATTAGGAGAAGGTAAATGTCTGCCAAATTATAGAACATGGAAGACCTAAAAATGTAATGGTATTCAGCATGTAAATGGTACTGAAATTATCTGACTTCTTTGTTTTTATTAAATTTATTTAGAGTATATGTGTGTGTTCTCTCTCTCTCTCAGTGTGTGTGTGTGTGTGTGTGTGTGTACCACAACAGGTATGTAGAAGTCAGAGGAAAAAATGTGGAAGTCAATATTCTCTTTCCATCACATGGTGCCAATGATTGAGTAAAGTCATATGTCTTGACAGCAAGCACCTTTACCCACTAGCCCATCTCTTTGGCTCCCTAGTCATCTGATTTAAAAGCCGAAGACCAGGGCTGCATAGATGATTCACAGCTAAGAATGCTTATTGCTCTTGCAGAGGATCTGAGTTCGATTGTCTGTGACCTCATGGAAGCTCACAATCATCAGTGACTCCAGTTCCAGGGCTTCTGTAGGTGTGCACTCCTATTGTGAGCAGATGGTGGGCAGGCAAAGCATTCATATACATAAAAATAAAAATAATAAATAATTGTAAAAGCTGGGGCTAGATGAAATGACTCAAATGTTTTAGTATAGAGTTAGTATATAGAGTAAGGGGAAAATCTAAGATGTACAATGCAGAAAACACCTTTACCATGTGAGGTCTGATTCTGTCACTTGATAGTACTGATGAGGGTGGCTGAGAGATTCATCAAGCTCACCTCTGGGTGTCTCTGTGAGGACATTTCCAGAGATGTTACAATGTGAAGTCTCTGATCTAACCAGTGGTCTAAGCCATTTATGCATTCGCTGTTTGGACAGATTATTACCAGGGTGTAGAATTGTGGCAGGAAGAGCCTGTTTGGAGGAAATAGGTGAATGGGAGTGATATCTTGTATTGTTCCCTTCCTACATTCACCTGTGCTTCCTGCATGAGAAGATAATGAACACTTTGACTATGTTCTTGCCATCATGATGAAACAGATCTTTTGGTTCAGAGCTCCTGAACCTTAGAAATCCCTCACGCCCACCTTTGCTACTATAAAACCCCACACCTAACTGAGCTCAGGATTCTTTCACCACTCCTATACAATGAACACAGAGAGTCTAAGTTTGCAAACTTTTGTAAGAATAAAGGCTCTTTGCTTTTACATACAGGACTCCGTCTCCTGATTGGTTTCGGGGGGACTCTGTGATCTAGACATAACAATTTCATTCCTTTTCTCACGTCACAACAGAGAGAAAATGTCTAACACATACCCTGGGTTCTATGACTAAGAAACACGATGCTGAAGCTGGTATTTGCTGGTCAGCCTGGCAGAAAGTGAATCACTGAACTGAAGAATGGGTGTTGGGTCCGGCATATTTACTGTTGGAGAACCTACAGCTAACTTCGTGTTTCAATCAAGACACGTTTGTTGGGAATGGGTGCGAATAAAGAGAGGAGATGGGAGAACACACTATACACTACTCAGTGCTGGGGATGGACGGAGAGAGGAAGAAGACAGGATCTGAGAAAAGGAAGAGCAGCAAGGATGGGAAGAAGCATAGAGCAGCCCTCTATCCCCAGGTGAGATCCTGAAACATCAACACAACACCTGCTGAGGATGGGGACAGGCAGGTGTCAAGTGTTTGAAGGCCACAGGAGTGTAGAGAGGCACTGGGGGCATCAGTGGTTGGGTCTCAAAAGCCTGATCCAGAAAGATCTCTTAGTTATACACACATATAGTCCTTTGTCACATTTCACTTAGCGACAGTTCCATTGAATTATCATCAGCACAATTCTGTAACACAGACCGTATCCTGTCACCTAGGGAAGTAGAGCAAGAGGCATACAAACACCTTTGGGAAGAATGGCTGAATCTGTAAATGGGCAGGGCCAAGGCTCCTAGGTGGGAGGTCCCTGGTCACACTGAGATGCTGAAGGTGACCTCTCTGCACGACCATTCCTCAACACCCACAATTGATTTCCTAAAGGACTAAGTGGAACTTTAGAGCCTACATCCTGTTGTGCTTGAGTACATTAATCCAAAATTACCCTGAGGAACACCCAAATGGTCCTCAAAGGGGATTCTGTTTCTCTTCATAGATTTATTGGTCTGACCAAAAGCCACCAACAGCAACCAGGATAGGCACAGAGGAGCTTTTTCCTACTGTTACAGGGAAATACATCCTCTGCTTTCCTCCAGGAATCTGGGAAGGGTTGAGAGATTAAGGGGGTCATCCTGAGATGTCCCAGGTCTTATAGACCGGCAGAGATTGCCCACAACTCACATTCTTGGCCACTTTAACCTCACAAGATTGTTCAACTTTCTCACAAATCCTCTTAGTATTGAAATTAGCTCTGAGTCCATGTCAGAGGTGAAAATGCACAAGAGGAAGCAAGAGGCTCCTTCAGAGCTGAGCTTTAAACATCAGACAGGAGCTGAGCCAGTGGTTCTGATCCATGAATAAGAAACAAGGGGTAGGGACCTCCACAATTGTGTCATGGCATGTCAACACGGAAGCACACACAAAATAAATATATGGAAGTACCTTTAATTGAAAATAATCTAAACAACTATTCAGAATTAACAAATTAAACTTTTAAAGGTAAATGTCAGAGTATCCAATACAATATAATAAGATACATTTGGAGTACAAAAGACATGTAAGGTATATGATGGAAAGACCAAGGTGTCGGGTTCATGACAAGGTCAGCAGTAGAATGTTTGTTCTCATGCTCCAGAGCCAGGATTCAGTGAACAGAACTGAAAAGCAAGATTAAAATGGTTTTAATATTTGTAAGTGTATAAATATTTCTATGTAAACATGTGGAAATACACAGCATAACTTACTAATGATGTTTAAACTTTGAAATATATGCCTGAACAGGTAAACAAACTGTGTCTTTGCATGGTGGGATGGAATTGCTAAACAACTTTCCTTGGACAGCACTGTCTGTGTTTTCTAAGGTTAGTATGCAATGTGCTAGAAAATAAAATGCAAACAACATCAACTTCAAATTTATGTAATGTACCAGGAATAAAGCTAAACTGGGTTGTCTTTCCATGCATACACAAACTAGACTTGGATGTTGTGGTATTGACGTGACTGCAGCCTATGTGATGGCAAATCTTAACTGTGAACCTGACTGTATCGAGGATAACTAAGAGATTCCTCAAACACTGCTCTGGGTGTGTCGGTCACATTTCTAGACATGGTTAGAATATGAAATATCTGGCATAATCAATCTATTGCAGCCATAAATACATTCAAATTTTACGCATATTACTGGATTGGAGAAAGCAAGGACCAACGGCTTGGAGGGTATATCCTGTCCTGGTCGCTTCCTACTGTGCTCAGCCATGATGTGAATAGCTCTGGCCCTGTACATCCTCCCCCAACATGATGAAAACCTCTAATATCATAAACTAAACTATATTATTGCTCCACTATACTACTTTACTCAGGTCAGAGCAGTGAGTAATCAGATAGCTTATGTTTTCCATTCAATGAACAAGAATGAAGAGAGATACTGGAACTAACGTTTGCTAGAACCTTAGCAGAAGAGGCGCCACCAATCTGAAGGTTCATAATGAGGGGTGTGAGGTCTGTCACGCTGACTCGTAAAAACCAGTGTTGATAAAAGTAAAAGTGAGAGGAAAAGGGAAAGTGTGGCAAATATGTTAATGATGGAAGGACATAGGAAGAGAAGAAAGGAAGCAAGAATCTGAAAGGCAGAAGCAGTTGGGAGATGAGGAGCAGAGAGCATTGCTCTATTCCCAACTGAACTATCGACACATCAACAGCTGATGCTGGTCCAGGCAGGTGTCAGGGCTTGGACAGTGAGGGAATAGATGGGTCAGGGTCATGAGTCTTGAGAGCACAGGGAAGGAATAAGGACTCACCTGCAGCAGAACTGGGCAAAGAAAGGCCCAGCCTCTAAAACTCATTACACAAAGATTGGTTATGGCAACAGGAAAAATCCAGTGTTAGGTTAGAATGTGCGAAAGTCTTATTCAAGCAATTAGAAGAACAATCCTGCTGCCCAAAGAGGATATCATAACCTGTGAAAGAAAAATAACAATGGTCAAACCTAAATAAATAAATAGTGACAAAAAAAACAGACTCTCAGAAAACGAGGAGAATTAGGCTCCCTGGTGAAATGTATGCCAGCCACACTGAGGTGATTATAGTTATCACCTATCAACCTGTAATCTGGCTTGCAGCCATGGCTCCCATTCCCAAATTACTTACTGGAATTTTTCAGTTCAAATCCTCACATCCCTAAATATGTTTTCTAGAAAGCTATAAAGGCCATGCAGTGACCCCACTCAAAAAAGTTTATCTGTCTGGCAAAGAATGACAGGTAGCCAGTATCAAAAGGAAGGAGCCTTCTCCTGAATTTACACAGAAACACAGCTTTTCACAGTCTCTTCTTTATTCCCAGGAGTGCAAAAAGGGATGATTCATTCCTAGATAGCAAACATGGTCACTCAAGATCTCCAAGTCTTGACATACCTTGAGAAATCACCAGTATGCCACATTCCTGGTCGTCTTTAGCCTCACACGTGCTTTCTCCTTTCTCACACTCTCCATCAGAGTTTAACATGTCACACTGCAAGCATGTCAGAGCTGAAAAGGCAAATCAAGAATAAGAGGTTCATCTTCCCACAGGGCAGGAAACCCTGACTGCCCTAAGGGACGAAGAGGGAGGAGGAGAGGGAGTGGGGGGAGTGGGAGGGCATTGGGAAGAGGGGTGGAAATGGAAACTTTTATAATTTAATAAAATTACTTTAAAAAAAAGAATAAGAGGTTCATTCAGAGCAGCCCATCAAGCATCTGACAAGAGATGAGACTGTGACTAGCATCAATGAAAAAGAAACAATGACCAAGGGCTGAATGTATGCTAAGGTGACCCCACTTGGTAACCCATGACCTTGAACACTAGGAGGGGATTTGAGAAGAGCCAAGTTTCTCCACTACAAATACTGTGAACGACTGCAAGGAGGAAGATCAAAGCTCTGGTGTAGGGAGCTTGAGTCTACCTCCTATGAGCAGACAAGTGTTCCCATCACTTTCTTATCTCCATCCTGTCATAAACCTTCCTTACATCATTACCAATACAATTTTAGGCCTGTACATAGGTAAGTTGGAGGAAATGAGAATGCTTGTTTGCTAAGAACAGGGAGGTGAATTCAAGAACCAGGAGAAAGGACATCAGAAGCAGAGGTATGACAAAGAAGAGGAGGAATAGAAGCCCATGCTGTGTACAACAGAGGGAAGGGAAGGACGGAAAGGAGAGGAAATGCAGATGAAGGCTGTGGGGCCCATGTATAAAAGGAGTCAGGTCTTACATCTTATTCCTGACCTCCCAAACCCAATGCCCTTCCACGGATGTCTGCCATCTGCCAGGATCTCACCTTGCAGGAAGCCCACCACTAGGGAGAGGCCCAGCAGGAGGAGCAGGTAGTGCTTTTCCATAGCAGTGGGAAAAAAGCAGAGCTTTTCCATGAGCAGCAGAGAGCAGGACAGGGCACTCAAGGCTCAGCCTCAGCAGTGCATGCTTATATAAGAGCTCAGGCTAGAAGGGGAAGCCAATGGGATCCCAAGACAGTGGACTGAGCAGATAGCCTGGAGGAAGCAGAGCTCCTACGTGCTTCACTGTACCTGCTCACTTCCACACTCCTAGCCCGTGATTCAGGCCCTTCTGCAATCTTGTCTGCATGTTTATTTCACTAACTTTCAAGCGGCAATGAATAGCTGTGAGATTCGAAGGAATTTTGAGACTGGGTGGCTGAGGAGCCTAGAGGGAGCCACACACACTAGGCTATTACCACATAGAAGGAAGCTTACCTTCAACTGCTCCATCCAGATTTTAAATTCCCTGACTCTTTATGAATGGGATATAGGTTTAGGCATATATTGAATTGCTCAATAAAACACTGAAACCCATATTGCAGATTCGGGGCCATCTTTCTTGCAGACTGCAAGTCTTCCTGGGGGTCAGATAGAAAGACAAGAAAAACTGCAGAGTCGTGGAAGGAAAGCGAGTTGGAAAACAGGCCTTCCATTCTGGATCTGATTTTCCTATCTCATTGATGGAGTCAGGAAATTTAAAGCATCGCTGATGAAGCCAAATTACACAGAGACCATGTGTGTTTTCTAAAAACCTCTCAATCAGATTCAAAGACAAAAATAAGCTGTGCTTACATAGTGCCAAGAGGACGGGTAACTTGGATTTTCGTGCCTTCTCCTCATTCCTAAATTGAAGCAATGCTACACATCTAAAACTACCTTTGGAGCTGCCATAATCATTTATACACCTATTGTAAAAACAGTGATGACTGTGTCAACTGCATGACACAATAGTCCTTCAAATCTTGACATGTTTTCTGCAGACACATGGTGCACATGTGCCCTTGTCAGTGACACTTGGTATGTCAAGGTCACTACTTCAGGAGAAGTACAGAAAAATCGCCCAAAAGTCAGACAACATCAAACTATTGACTGAGTTAAAGCAAAATTTGATATAGACCTTTTGAGAGATATTCTTGGTTGTCAACTTTACTACATCTGGAATTAACTAAATAACAAGAGTTTGGGTACACCTGTAAGAAATTTTTCTTAATTAAATAATTATTTGGTGGGAAAGCCTAATTTTAATTATAATCTTATGAGGTGGAAAGATCCACTTTTAATCTAGGCCACCGCTTCTGCGGCAGCCTATATAAAGGAAGTAAAAGAAGGAAGCCATTGCTGTTTGCCTGATTGCCCTCACTCTCACTGGCGAGTCCATTCCTTCACTGGCACTAGAGTCTACTTCTTTGGGAATCCAGAGTAAACTGAAGACCAGCTGGGACATCCAGCATCATGGACTGAACAACTACCGGATTCTTAGACCTTCTGTTAATAGACAGCCATTGTTGGACTAGCTGGACCACATCCTGTTAGCCACTCTAATAAGTCCCAATTCTATAAGTTCTGTTCTGTTAGAGAACCCTGTAGAAAGGAGCTATGGGCAGTCCTGCTTTTCATCCCGCCCAGCTCCTGCATGGCTAGCTTAGTCCCAGAAATAACAACACACAAATTGTATTCATTTAAGCACTGCCTGGCCCATTATCTCTAGAGAGTTAGTTACTGACTAACTCTCATATCTTCTTATTAACCCATTTCTAATAATAAGACGTGGTGGCTTACCGGAAAAGATTCAGCATGTCTGACCTGGTGGCTGGCTCCATGGTTTCTGGCTCATAGCCCTCTTCCCAGCATTTTGTTCTGTTTACTCTGCCTACCTAATTTTCTGTCCTATCAAGGGGCCAAGGCAGTCTCTTTATTGACCAATGAAAATAACACAATAGACAGATAACCCTCCTCCATCATTTCCCCTTTTTCTGTTTAAACAAAAAAGAAAGGCTTTCATTTTAACATAGTAAAATTACACATAACAAAACAGTTATCAAGCAAGAATTACAGTCACAATATTTATAACTAAATCTTTGTCATAATAATGGAAAACTATAACTACGACTATCCATTCTTCAACTCCATCAAAGACTCCAGAAGGATATATTACCTAAGTAAACAAGAAGTAAGCAACTTCCAAAACTCTAGAAATGACAGAGATATCTCGCTGCCTGGACAGTCACCCAAAGTTCCTCTGTATCGTTGGGGCACCCATCTTCAGCCTTCAGGCCCATAATATCCAGAGACATTTCCATGAAGCAGGAAATTTCAAAGGCAATTCAGTCACTATCTGCTGTGTCCTGCAGAATGTCTCGCAGACTCTTTCATGAATCAGGAACCCCGAAAGATCATCTCACCTTTAGGCAAGTTCAGCAATCCTCTCTCTGCGGGTTCTCTGTGTCCAGTTTATATAACAGTCCAGGCAAGAGCAGTTTCTTGCCCAAATGGCTAACCAACTCCATAAGGAGCGTCTTCGATGCCCATCTTCCTCTTGAAGTAGATTGGTGCTGCCAGGAGCAGACGTGTCTCATTGTCATGAAAAGTCCTAAGTTATTAAAACATTAAATGCCATGTTCTGTAGTCTTTGAAAGATATGAATGTCTATCTGAAATATATCTATGCACTTCTAGAAAATCAGACTAACATTACTACAAGCTAGTATTATCCATTAACAACCTATATTTTTAACTATACATTGCATTTTTAAATAAACTACACAATCACAATACCTCAATCAAGATCAGAAACATATATACATATAACAAAATTGACCTTAAAATCCATAACAAAGCAAATTATTCATATCTATATCATATCCCCCTTTAAATGTAAAAGAACATTTATAAACAATATTTGGGAATATGGACGTAGTTATTTCTCTCCAAACTTCTTCCTGCTGTATAGGGGCGCAGTTAATCAGGTCTTTCATGGTATAACCTGTCTGCCAGGTTCATCTCAGTCGGCAGTTGAGTGAAGAAATTTTTTGAGGGTGTTCACAGAAACCTTTCAGGAGGGCGTGGTCTATCATACCATATTGGGATAGAAACAATCCACAGGGTCTCATCCTCTGTGAAAACAAAAGAAGAACCTCCTTTCCAAAGTATCATATCCTTAGATCCAAATTCAGAAGTCAAGGTATTTTCAACATATCTATCTTGGATTAGTTCAGCAGCATTTATAAACAAATATCTTTTAGCAGCTGTTGCTCCTTCCTCAGCATTCAAACAATTCAAAGGGAGCATAATAGCATACAGTATCAAGATTCTCTGTGTATTTTCCATCTTTATGCAGCTTTATTTTTAACCTCTATTTCTTTTATTTTTACTTTTACTTTTTGACACAGGTTCTCTGTATATCTTTGTCCTGGAATAACTCTATAGACCAGGCTGTCCTTGAACTCACAGAGATCTGTCTGTCTCTGCTCCCCCCCCCTCCCCGTGCTGGGATTAAAGGCGTGTGCTACCACACCTTGAACTCAGAGATCCTTCTGTCTCTGCCTCCCAGGCATTGGGATTAAAGGTGTGTGCTACCACACCTTGAAGTCACAGAGGTCAATCTACCTCTACCCCTTGAAGTCACAGAGGTCAACATGCCTCTACCTTCTGGGCATTGGGATTAAAGGTGTGTACCACCACACATAACTACTCTCTTTTTACTTTAAGAACTTTAACTTTTATCCTGCATTTATTTGTAACACACTATAAACCATTTAGAGGTTTTCTTCGTATTTGAATCTCTCTTTACTGTATATCTCTCCTTTTTTCTGAGCACATGAGCCTAAAACCATGGCTTTGACGGCTGGATCTAGGCCATTTCTTAGCTTTCCAGCCTCATGGTAGAGGTACTGCTGAAGTCATTTTTATTGCCACAACTCTGTGGCATTTCAAGGTCCCTGCTAGCAAGCAAGCTGCAGCATTGGCAGCATTCTGCTCACAGACCACACTCAGTCGGACTGCCTGCCTGAAACAGTCAGAGATTACCCTGGCAGGGCAGCCCAGAAAGACGGTATTTTAAAACAGCGCAGCTTTTTTTCCTGCTACGGCTGAAAACCGAAAAGCATGCATTCAGTTTTTCACCAACACCATTTAAGTGTTTCGTGGCAGGACCTCTTAATGAGCTACAAGGTTTTGCAGCTAAAGCTGAGTCAGGAAGCCTCCCTTAGATGAGAGTGCTTGCTTGCTCTAGCAAACAGAGCAGACCTGAGAAATTGCTGCTACCAACAAAACATGCTTTACTCTATTCGTTCCCAAGCTTTCTCAAGCTTTCTGTGGATCCAGTTATCCACGTTGGCGCCATCTGTAGTGATGGAGGGCTGGCTTGTTGGGGTTTCTGTCCCTCCCAGTACCCCAACAGCCGGCAAGCAACAAAGAAAATCACACACAAGACTCCATAAGGTTATAAGGGGCGGTTCTTAAACCAAACGTTGGGCGCCAATTATCAGCGAATCAATCCCACACCAGTTATGTTTTAAGGGGTTATTTATTTTGGGGGGTAAAACTTACATACACCATAAACCGTCAGGAAGGGAGCCTAGTCGCTGGAGCAGGAGCCGGGAGCAGGAGCCGGGAGCAGGAGCCGAGACCAAGCACCGGAACCAAGAGCCGGAACCAAGAGAGCCTGATCCGGATCTGCTTCTCTTTTTAAAAGAGAAATATACCACGCCCCAGTGCGCTGGTATTTCAGCAGCTATTGGCTGACGGAGCGGAAGTCGCTCCCTGCTGCACTGTGGGCTCGTATTTCAGCGACTATTGGTTGAGGCAGCAGAAGTTACTCCCACAACAGAACCCTGACTAATATAGACCTCCTGGGTGACTGGCTCCATCCCTAGGAAGCTTTTTCAAATTAGTGTGAGTTCTCTTAGCTCCCATAGTCCTTTAATCTTGTTTTTCATTCTGTTGTCTGTCTTCAGCTTCTGCTTCCTGCATCTTCTGACTTCCCACACCCCATGATACACACTCTCTTCCTTTGCAAAATGCAGCTCAAGGATTTCAGGCTTACAGCCCTGTGACACCATGGCA